CTCAAAGTTAGCAAACATTCCGTTAATGTCTGTATATGTAATATTTTGCTTTTCATCCATTGGGCACATAAAGGTCTATTTATTCATCCTCTCAATAATGTTCTTGCATGCTGGAGATACACCAGGAATAAGACAGTAAACCTAGACCCTGCCCTCACTGAATGAAGACATTGAAACTGCCTATATTAAAGTAATATAAGGCCATAAGGCAAGAACTGTGGTAAAAGTTTGATTTCTGCAGAAGTATAGACATAGCTAAAAGTTAACCAGCTACTGTTTCATAGCTTGCTTTTCTGTAATTGCTGACTGCTTAAGATTCACATGTCCTTGACTTGTGCAAGATGTGTGACTTCCCTAATCACTTCTACAGATAATATCATTATTGTAAAACCTAAGACTAGTCTTTGAGATATCTTCCAGATTCTGCATTCAAGGGGACCAACTGGTGCCAACTGGACTGGTGGCCATGCATAGAACGGACTCAACAGATCCTACAACCCTTTACCAGGAAACTCTCTCAGCACAAGAAGACAATTTTTGCTTCCCAATCCTATTAGTTCATCCCAAGCCAATCAGCAGACACAACAAATTCCCTTTCCCTTTGTCTGCCAAACTACTTTTAAAAACCTTATCACCAAAATTCTTGGGGAGACAGATTTGTGAACTTTCTCCCTTCTCCTTACTTAGTGCCCTGTGATATACTCTCTCTCTACTGTAACCTTTGCTGTCTCAGTGTATTGGCTTCCTTTTGAACAGTGGGCAATACAGTCTGGTTGGGCAGTAACAATGTTTTCAAGGTGTAAAGGGCATGAAGAAGAAGCAGTACCAGTGTCTCCCCAGGAAAGGCAGGACAGGCTTCATGAAAGGGTTCTGCTTGAGCCAAGTAGTGCCTTGCCTGGATTGATAAAGCTGGAGTGACAGTCCAGGCAGAGAATGGCACTTGTGATTTCTGGAACCTGCTCTTCTTTTGCATTTTTTTTTTTTTTTGAGACAGAGTCTCGCTTTGTTGTCCAGGCTAAAGTGAGTGCCATGGCATCAGCCTAGCTCACAGCAACCTCAAACTCCTGGGCTCAAGCGATCCTATTGCCTCAGCCTCCCGACTAGCTGGGACTACAGGCATGCGCCACCATGCCCGGCTAATTTTTTATATATATATCAGTTGGCCAATTAATTTCTTTCTATTTATAGTAGAGACGGGGTCTCGCTCTTGCTCAGGCTGGTTTTGAACTCCTGACCTTGAGCAATCCGCCTGCCTCGGCCTCCCAGAGTTCTTTTGCATTTTTGTATATAGTGTGGCTTCAGCATTGGGTGCCTGCAGGCTGAGGTCAGGTGATGCTGTACTTCATTCTCACCTCATCCCAAGTCTGGGAGTCCTTCAGGAGGTTCAAGCAGCAGAGAAGGGAGTTTATGCAGTTGTTTGCGTTTTAGGAAGGTGACTGGAAGGCAGTGTGGAGGAGAGTCTGGGAAGGGAAGACCAGAGGAAGGAAGGCCAGTGAGACCGAGGCTGAGGAGAGCAGTGACTGGGAGTGAACGAGGATAGTGGCGGAGGGAAGAAGGAGAGGGGACATGAGTCCCTGTGAGGGCAGGGACCAGCTGCCTTACCCTCCATAGTGTGTCCAGACTTGGACAGTGCCTCACATGCAGGACGTGGACAGCTGGTGTCTTCTGAATAAATGAATGAGGCACTTAATAGTTTGTTAGCCAGGATTCATGCTATGGAAAAAGGAGCATCACTGTCACCTGGCCTTCCCAGAGCTCTTGGTGCCTGGAGCTGGCTAGGGTGGGAGGAGCCAAGATTCATAGAAAAGCCCAGTATCTAAACTTCTTTCACTCACCTAAGAAGTGAATCTGGTAAACCAGCTTTTAAACCACAAAGAAAAAGAAGAAATAAAAAAAAAAAAATAAAAAATAAAGAAGTGAATCTGGGAACTGATCTTTGGTGGGAATCTTCCACAGATGTGGGAAACCATACACTAATTGGGGGGTGGAACATTGGACCCTTTTCAAAGGCCTGGTACCTTTCTACACAAATTATCCCATTTAATCGCCACAACAATCTAATTAAATGCTGGGATCTCAGAGAATGTGCAACCACCCAAAACCACCACCAAGATGAGGTGCAGGGACGCGATGGAAGCCTTATCTTCCTTGGGCATGCCTGTGAGGGTCGGCCTGGACTCTCCTCTTCCCTGACGCACTAGTCTTGGGTAAGGCATCCCACCTCACCCCTTACTCCCACCCTGCCCCACTATCAGTGCCACGTCCCTGTGAATGCAAACTCACTGCAGTTGGGCAGCCAGACCCCTCCTTGAGGCCCTGCTTGCCTTACCACTCTAGCACTTGGGAAGGGATAAGGACTGGTTTCAGGTCTGCAGCCACGTGAGGCTCAGGAAAGGAAGGTCACAGAAGCCAGACCGCCATGTTCTTGCTAGTTATTCGAGTAGTAAAAAATTAGGATAGGCCAGAGACCAAGAGAAAGCAGAGAGAGTGAAATATGAATGGGAGCAAGAGCGACTTGTTCTCACCTGCTCAGTGACTTGACAGCTTGGGAATGGAAGCACCACTGAAGACGCAGCCACGTTTCAGGGCACTCTCAGACCCATACTCGCCATCCACTCATGGGATCCAAAGGGCAAAGTATTGATACTATATCAGGCAAGTGACAATTATGTGCTTTATAATCCTTTAACAAGGGAAATAAAAGTGGCATATCCCAAACAATAGTTCTCTCACCTGAAGGGCGAACAGCAATAGCCCTGTAAAAAGATAATCCATAACCACAGATAATGGATTTTGTTTAGCACCCACTGATTCTCTGGAATGAGCTCCTATTTTCCCTAGGAACTGAAGGGAGGGACCAGTTCTCCTTTCCTAGCCCTTTAGTAACATGGGACATAGCTGTCACTGAAGCAGCACTTAGTGTATTCTCTGGCATTGACAGATGCATATTACATGTTTATTAAATGAATGAATCTGAAAAAAAGAAAAGAGCCAGGCACAGTGTCTCATGTCTGTAATCCTAGCACTTTGGGAGGCCATGGCAGAAGGATCACTTGAGACTGGGAGTTTGAGACCAGCCAGAGTAGGAGTAACATAATGAGACTCTGTCTCTATAAAAAAATATTAGCCAAGCATGGTCGTGTTCGTCTGTAGTCTAGCTACTCTGTAGTCCTGGCTACTCAGGAGGCTGAGGCAGGAGAAGGGCAGGAGGATTACTTGAGTCCAGGAATTTGAGGTTGAAGTGAGCTGTGATGATGCCACTGCACTCTACCCAGGGCAACAGAGCAAGACCCTCTCTCAAAAAAAAGAAAGAAAGAAAAGAAGTGGACTGGATTTGGTAGAAGGATAATGAGTCTAATTTCAAAGTGTTGAACATGAGGTGCTCTGGACATCTGGTAGTGGGAAATGGGTATAGAACTCATGATCTCAGTTGAGATGTGGAGTGGAAAGAGTAGAGGAGCAAACCCAAGGCTAAGAAGCTCTTGGATCTTTGATCATTATGGTAGATGACTGGCAGATCAGTATCTCCAGCTGAGACTTGTCTCTTCAAATTGTCCGGGTCTACCCACCTCCAGATATGTGCCTCCTACAATTTTCCACACTCAACCATGGTTAAGACAACTCATTATCTCCCAAGGAAATGTGGCTTTCCTCTTAGTTTCCCAATTCTTCCAAAGAGTCCTGGAGTCTTATTCACCCAGCCTAAACCATTTTGTTCTCTTGGATAAAATTCAGTAAAATTTCAGCTGCCCAGAATTTTTGAGATTGAAGATTCTGATTTCTCTGAGTTAAATTAAAAGGGAAGAAAAAGGTGCTTGTTTAAAAAGATTTTTCTGGCTGGGCACAGTGGCTCATGCCTGTAATCCCAGCCCTTTAGGAGGCTGAGGCAGGAGGATCACTTGAGGCCAGGAGTTCAAAACCAGCCTGGGCAACATAGACCGTGTCTCTACAAAATAATAATTATAATAAACAAATGAAAAGATCTTTCTAAAATATAGTGTAGCTTTTTCCATCATTCTTGTCACCATGGGATGCTCTTCTAACAGATCTTCTCAAGACTGTCCCTCACATCCTTCAAGTCTCTGCCAAAACTTACCCTCACAGAGTTCTTCTCTGATCTTACCTTAGTCAAATAGCACCTTCCACCTTCACACTGCTTGATTTTGTTTCATACCATTTATCACTATGTGATTGGTTAATTTTTTTCTTATCACTTGTCATTATTTGACTTGTTAATCTCTCTCCCTCACTTAGAATGTAGGGGAGGGACTTTGTCTTTTTTACCATTACATTCCCAGTGCTTTGAAGGTACATAATAGATGCTCAACAAATATTTGTTGAACAAATGTTTATAGGCAGCCCTGAACAATATGTTAGATCTGGTTTACAAATTTGGAAATTGAGGCTCAGCATGGTTTCTAAATGACAAAGCCAGGCCTGGCACAGTGGCTCACGCCTGTAATCCTAGCACTCTGGGAAGCCGAGGCGGGCAGATTGCTTGAGGTCAGGAGTTTGAAAACAGCCTGAGCAAGAGCAAGACCCTGTCTCTATTATGAATAGAAAGAAATTAATTGGCCAACTAACATATATAGAAAAAATTAGCTGGGCATGGTGGCGCATGCCTGTAGTCCCAGCTACTCGGGAGGTTGAGGCAATAGGATTGCTTGAGCCAGGAGTTTGAGGTTGCTGTGAGCTAGGCTGACGCCACGGCACTCACTCTAGCCTGGGCAACAAAGTGAGACTCTGTCTCAAAAAAAAAAAAAAAAAAAAAGAATAAATAAATAAATGACAAAGCCAGTGACTGATTATATCACCTGGGAATTTTATAGGTTATCAAGAGCTGCTTTCCAGATAAGACAAATTATTCTAAGCTTATATTTTTACTCATCATAGGTACCCAGACTCCCCAAACAGAAATGGTAAGATACATTAGTAGAAATAGTTGCTACGATTGGGTATTTCCGACTGTTAAAAAATACCTTTTTTTCCTTCAAATTTAGGAGGATATGGCCAAAAAAATGGTCGTAGTAGAAAATGGAGGGAGATACTGAAGCTACCGCCCATCAGCCAGTGCAGGGAGCTCAGACTTTCCATTGGTGAGTAGATGGTGCCTGCTTACCTGGAGGGTATGTCCAATGGTGGACCAGTTGTTAGGTACTATTTTTTCTTGAGTTCTATATTGTTTAGAAAATTTTGTGATAAATTTTTATCCATTGGTTGTTCTGAATTTGTAGATGGTACAGAATATGAAAGCTGTAAATTTCAAATTATAGTAGTATGTTCTTTCTATAGGAGGATTACTTTGAGATTGAGAGAGAGAGAGAGCACTTCTGATAAGTGGCTCAGAATTCAGTAGTCAGAGAAGCCAGTAGTCTCTTGTTAGCTGGTTCTCTTACGGACAGATAGATCCAGAGGAGTGCTTCTTTTGACTTTGTGGCACTGTGCACTCAGGACCCAGAAACTTCTCTGTGTCTCCTGCACCAGGGCTCCTCCTCTCCTGGTGAGCTTGTCTTCTCTGGTGGAGACCAGTGCCCTCTGTCTCCAAATGCCGCCTCTCCCCTCTCTGCTTACTCATACCTGGCACACAGAGCGGCTTCTAAAGAGCCATAGAAAGGCCCTGGGAATTGGGTCTTCTGGTTCCTGCAGGACAGGGCCTCTGGTGGGGAGACAGAATGACACTGTCTACTGTTTCAAAGATGTTATATTTTGTGACACATTTCTGTGATTTGTGGTATTTTGGTAGCATGTGAAATCTTAATGCATGAGAAAATGAAATCATTAATAGAATTGTGAACCAGATAAGGTAAAAAAGAAACAGATTTAAAATATTTATGTTTATATAAATGCCAGAATTTTTTATAGGTTGATTTAGAAAAAACATTTTTTAAATTCCCTGACTTCATTAGTTCCTATTTGTTTTGTGATGTTGCTGTCATTTATTTCTCCAGAATTCTGTTAAACCATCAGTGTGAAAATTGTAAATTGCTGCAGGATGAAGAACACTGTGTGTGTGTGTGTGTGTGTGTGTGTGTGTGTGAGAGAGAGAGAGAGAGAGAGATGAAATATTTTGAACATATTAATATAAAAAAAGACTTTATTGAATAAAGTAATAATCACCCATGTTCCTACCACCCAGATTTAAGTAGAAGACTTTAGAAATAAGATTTTTTGAATGACAGAGCATTTTTGCTGTTGTACCTGAACCAATATAAAAAATTAGAGATTTTTTAATAAAGCATCCATATAAATGCTATCTAGTCTAAATGTTCCTGTTACCTCCATATTGTGCTTTAGGACAGTTCCTGTCCCTAGCATTTGAAACTAACATTGATTACCTACCTACTTTGCCCACTTGTGTCCCATGTACCTTCAGCTCCTTCACTTACCTGTCCTATGGGGTTGAGGGACCTGTTCTCATTTTCCAGAGAAGGAATGTGAGGCTTGTGTCGCATAACCTGGTCATGACCTGGCCACAATCTCATACTGCCTCAGTGGTAGAGCAGGAGTTTGAACTAATTTGAAAGGACTCATGCTCTTTGATTATGCTCAGCTTCTCTCCAGAAGAAACCCATTGGGCTCTTATCCTCTCTTTTTATCTGTTTTCAAAGATCTGTCAGAAAATGTGCTAATATTACATCATGTGATCACTTATAGTTATGATAGAAGTATGTATAGCATCAGAGTGTTAGGATGCTTACACTTAAAAGAATATAAATAATCTTACATTCTTCCTGCTATAACTAAAATAAGACTTGTAGGACCAGTTAGGTAGCTTCCTTTTCAAGTAAGGACTCAAATCTAGCAGTTAGCATTCTTTTTTTTTTTATTTCGGCATATTATGGGGGTACAGATTTTAAGGTTTCAATAAATGCCCTTCCCCCCCCCAGAAGTCTGAGTTTCCAGCATGACCATCCCCCAGATGGTGCACATCTCACTCATTATGTATGTATATACCCGCCCCCCTCCCCCCTGCCCAATACCCTATTACTGTAGTACGTATGTGTCCACTTAGGTGCAGCAGTTAGCATTCTTGATGAAATTGAGGGTACTTAAGAAATAAATTTGGAAAGCATGAATAGAATCTATCCCTAATAGGCAAGTATTTTTAATTGTCTGATGATAATGTAAATACAATACAAAACAAACCAATATATTACCCCAAAACTGTTCAGATGTTTGGCTCTTACTAGTATATAGAGAATTTTAACACATTAACTGCCATGTGAGTTGTATTTAACTCATGCTAGTTTTGAGCTCAGGGCCTCATGAAGCAAAACCTGGGCAAAACTCTGCAATTGGTTCATGAGAATCTTAGCTGTTGATGTTCTTATTGTTACAATTAATATTTACAAATTAGTTCTAAAAACATGGATTAAATGAACAGAAGTCAATAAACTTCATTTTTCATTAAATTAGAAAGGATCGTTTTGTTTTAGAAGTTTTTATTCTATTTTCATAATAAAACACCGTGGCTCCAAGGAAAAACATTTTTTTTCTTAGTGTATCAATCAATGTGTTAAAAAACAAATAAAGAAACAAATAACAACAATAAAAAAAGAATAATATGTGTTTGTCTTTACCAGATAAGCCAGGTGGATTTAGAATGTTACCTTTGCTTCCTTGCCTGGATTGTGCTGATGTCCATCCCAGTTCTCTCCCTAGGCTCTGAAGCAGTCCTTAAACCCTGGATGTCATAGTGGTGTCTGTCTCCCACTCAACATGTTTGACCCTGACCATTTGTTTTTGCAGGCCCTTCCCCTACCTATGGTGGCCAAGCCAGATCCTCCTTGCCTGCATAGCCCACATCTTGTCTCCCATTTGGTCCTCCCACATGGTCAGCGGAGCCTGTGACCACTCTGCCCCTGGGTACTCACTTCAAGGAATGTGCTGCTTTCCACCACCTTACCACACCAGCTGTGCTTAGTCACCTTGTTCCTCCTCGGTCTCCTCAGTAGGTTCCCTGAGTATGTGGCTCATGTCATTTGTATTATAACAGCCTGACCACAAAGGAGGGACTCCACAGCTCTGTGGATCAATTGCCTCCAATAATTCATATTTGTCACCAAGCTCGCTGCTTCCTTCCTCGAAGTGCTGCTGTGGTTTCAGCCTTACTCCTCTTCCTGCCAGTTGGTCACTCTCTTCTGCCCCCGGGATTATTTCTGTAGCCCCGGGATCAGGAATAGAAGGCCTGCAGAAGTGAGCAGTTCCCAACAGGTCTCTGGTTCTCCAGTGTTCTTAAAATGCCAAACATATAAGTACTGTAAAGGTTAAATGAAATAATACACAGAAAGGACTTAAATAAAGTAGTATCTAGCATATGCTGTAAGATGAAGAAATATTATGTACAATCATTATTTTTATTTCTGTTCCTTCTCAAATAGATACAAGCTTCTTAGTTTAACATTAGGGCTTTCTGAAAATCTGACCCTGGTCTTTTTTATTATTATTATTATTTTTTTTTTTTTACCCTGGATATGCTAAGACTGACCCCAGTCTTTTTAAGCTTTGTTTGCCTCCACATTTGCTTTCCCATTTTCAGGCACTCTGAACTACTTGTTGGGTAAATCACTTCCTTTCTTTGTATGTTTGTCCATAGCTTGTTCTAAAAATTGATATCTACCAACAGTATTACAGTTTTATAATTACAGACACTTCTTTTTATATTGCACTGCGTTTTTTTTACAACTTGAAGGTTTATGGCAACCCTGCCTTGTGCAAGTCTGTCAGTGCCATTTTTCCAAAATCATGTGCTCACTTTGTGTCTCTGTGTCACAATTGGTAATTCTTGCAATATTTCAAACTTTTTCATTATTATTTTATCTGTTATGGTGACCTTTATAGTTGTTTTGGGCACCACAAACTGCACCCGTATAAAGTGGAGAGCTTAATCGGTAAATGTTGTATGTGTTCTGATTGCACCACCAACCAGCCATCTCCCCATCTCTCTCCCTCTTCCTGTGCCTCCCAGTTCCCTGAGTAACAATACTGAAATTAGGTCAATTAATAACCCTACCATGGTCTCTAAGTATTCAAGTGAAAGGAAGAGTCATACGTCTCTAACTTTAACTCAAAAGCTAGAAATGATTAAGCTTAGTGAGGAAGGTATGTCCATAGGCCAAAATCTAGGCCTCCTGCATCATATAGCTAGCCAAGTTGTGAATACAAAGGAAAAACTACTTGAGGAAATTAAAAGTGCTACTCCAGTGAACATACGAATGATAAGAAAGTGAAACAGCCTTATCGTTGATGTGAAAAAAGTTTTAGTGGTCTGCATAGAAGATCAAACCAGCCACAACATTCCCTTAAGCCAGAGCCTAATCCGGAACAAGGCCCTAAGTCTCTTCAATTCTATGAAGGATGATAAAGGTGAAGAAGCTGCAGAAGAAAAGTTTGAAGCTAAAAGAGGTTGATGGGAAAGAAGTCCACAGCATAAAAGTACAAGGTGAAGCAGCAAGTGCTGATGTAGAAGCTGCAGAAAGTTATCCAAAATGTCTACCTAGGATCATTGATAAAGGTGGCTACACTAAACAACAGATTTTCCATGTAGACGAAACAGTCTTATATGGGAGGAAGATGCCATCTAGGACTTTCATAGCTAGGAGAAGTTAATACCTAGCTTCAAAGCTTCAAAAACAGGATGACTTTCTTGTTAGGGACTAATGTAGCTGGTGACTTTAAATTGAAGCCAGTGCTCATTTGCCATTCCAAAAATCCTAAGCTCTTAAGAATTTTGCTAAATCTGCTTTGCTTGTGTTCTGGAAATGGAATAACAAATCCTAGATCAGGAGTCCTCAAACTTTTTAAACAGGGGCCAGTTCATTGTCCCTCAGACTGTTGGAGGGCTGTTGGAGAGTGTGGCACACATTCCACACATGCGCACTATGGGCTTGGGACGAGTTGGCTGCTGAGCAGGACAGGCAGTGGTGGCAAAAACACCCATCGGGCTGCATGTGGCCCGTGGGCTGTAGTTTGAGGACCCTGGTAGATGAACACACATCTATTTACAGCATGGTTTACTGAATGTTTTAAGCCCACTATTGCGACCTACTGCTCAGAAAAAAAGATTTCTTTTCAAAATATTACTGCTTACTGAAAA